AAGCTTGTTTCTTTAAAAAAGCTAATTGATAAGGAGGGCTTTCCTGTTTTTTAACTTCAGCTCAGATTGCTTAAGTCAGCAATCATTTTATTAACTAAGATCACAAAAGTTCAGCATTAGGCCATAGCTCCAGATACCTTCCATATCCCTAGACCTAGTGTCTACACACCTGGATTTAAAGTGTATCTTTTAAGCTGCACAGCCTGAGGCATTTCCAGAAGGAGTCCTGTTAAGTGAAAAATAAGACCTTTCATGAGGGATGCTGAACCATTCCTGTTGCTACATCAAACACTCTCTGACTTAATCTCCAGAGAACAGCCTTCTCAGATAAATTGTCCACCACCACAGCTAGTTCTTGGCTTGTTTTAAATAAAAGTCTGCAGATTCTTTCATGAGGTCATTTTTTAAGCTTAAATATCTACGTCGCTTTGAAAATCTATTTTCTGTCTTTTCAAAAAGAGCATAGCAGGAGTTAAAATTGGATCACTTTTTGCAAGCTACATCATACATCTGGAGTGAATTCCAGAGTATTAATGTCACAGTATGTTACAACAAGGACTGTCAAGTCTAATTTTTGCAGACCTGCTAAATCTGAAAGGGCAATCTGGACAGCCAGCAGTTTTGATCTTTGAGCTGAGGTATGTTTTCTGAAGTTATTCTTAAAGTCAGGGGAGAAGAGCAAAAAAGCCTGGTCCTACTTGAATGGCAGTGTGACCATGATAGGAAACATCTTCATCTTCTGTACTGTAGGTTTTTATAATTAGACTTCAGACTGGGAGAGGCCTCAGACCTTGAGTGCAATTGGGCCTCACATACTTAGATTTCTTCTACATTGTTCTAGACAGGCATTAGCTTTGAATTACTGGTAGCCTTAATTGTATTTTTCATTGTAAATTAATAAGTGGATATTCTGATTTGGTATGTTAGTCTCTATATTAATATGGGAATACTGTATAGTCACTGCTGGAACTATGTAAACTTGAAATTTTTATTTTAGAAAAATTATGGGAAAAAAGGTCAATTTCTTTAATAGAAAACTGTCCATATTTTTTTATATCATCTTGGGTTCATCTTTTTTGTTTTTTTAAAGAGGTGTCCTTTGCACTTAGCTTGTTACTTTGGCTTTGTTAGTGATTTCTGGTCCATTGATTTCTATTCTTCATTTCCTTTTTTGTACTTACTCAGATCTTATTTGGGTATTTCTAGTTACTCAGGTTGGAAACAGGCTCTTTTTTGCTTTCAAAGATAGCTTATAAGGCCATAAATTTCTTTCTAGCTGCTATTTTAACACATCTTACACATTTCTAACAATGCCTTTTGAGGTAACATGGTAATTAATATAAACCATGAATAAATAAAGTATACAAGTTTGACAAATGTACTTAGCTACCCATGAATCTATCACCATAATCAAGGTAATAGCCCTATCCATCACTATCAAAAATTTACTCAGTTCCCTGACAACCACTGATTAGCTTTTTGTTACAATAGATTAGTTTTCATTTTCTAGAATTTTGGATAAATAAACTTATAAAATATGAACACTTTGGCTTCTTTCACTCAGCATAATTATTTGAGATATTCATACACATTATTATATCAAGAGTTCATTTCTTCTTACCTACCTCTGCAAACACAGTGCCCATTACTTCCTTATTGCCTTGTTTGTTTACAGTACCACCAAGGTTTTATATCTGTTTAGTTCCATGCCATGTAAGTGAAACCATCTTGGACCATCTCTTCCATTTTTCTTACTCTAATTATGTTTTTTTTATCTTGGATAACTACTGACTTTAATCTGTAAAAGAACTGTGAGGGAACTTAATATAAAATCTACTCACTCACTGTTCCTCTGGAAATGTTCTATCTCTGTTATACCAATATAGTGGATTCTGGATTTGTTTTTTGTTTGATTTGGCTTTTTTTTTTTTTTTTGGAGTGCTGGGAGTCAAGCACAAGGCCTCACACAACCTCACCAAGCACTTTACCAGTGAGCTACAACCCAAGCCTAGTTGGATTGACTGAATTTGGATGAAATAAACCTAAGCTATAACTAAATATTGAAATGTTTGCCCTTTTTCTTCAGATAAAAATGTCTCCATCATACCATCAGTCCAAAGGAGATCTTACTGCTAAGAAGGTGAGTTTTCATGTTTTTTTTTTTTAAATTCCTCCTTCTGTGTATTTATTCTCGTAGCTTGAACAATCTTCTTGAAATTGCAGTGGTATTTAATCATCTTAATGCTGTCAGAAGTTTCTTCTGATTGGATCCTTTAATGACATGTTGCCAGGACTATTTGGCTTGTCCAGAGAAGCTAAGTGAGGCTTGGGGCCCAGCTCTGTCTTCTGGCAACTGAAGACTGTCAGTTTCTAGAATTCCCATCCTCTATACCAGGTACAGTGTCAGTGAGAGGTATTCTGAGGGAAAATTATGTCATATTTTTTAATAATAGTGTGTTTTCCCTCTTGATAGCTATGTCTAAAACACTTGGCCAGAGATACAAGCACTTCGGCATATGCCATACAGAGGTGCTCAGCATGCGCCCACAGACCAGCCCTGTCATCTGGCTGTTTCAGGCCCAGCCTGCCTGTAGACGCTGTGGTGCAGACGGGCTAAGAATCCTTCACCTGAGCAGCACTCAGAGGACATCAGGAGAATCACTGAAGTCCTTTCCCCTTAGCTGCAGTGCTGCCACTGAAGCACATAAACACACTGATATTTCTGCTGGTTTTTCTCTTGTCATCTTTCATTCGCTGATAGGTGAAACATTTCCTTCCTTTGCCTTTAAAAAAAAAAAAAAAAAAAATTTCAACCACCATCCATGTCAGCAAAGGATAGTAGAACAAAAATAACAACTCACTGGCTCTGTTGACTAACAGCAGGTTTTTGGTTCAAAGCTGTATGCAAAACAGGTCCCTTTTCTCTGTCTGTAGAATCCCCTGAGACTTTTTCAAAAGCAAAGAATAAAAACAAAATATGTTGTCTGAACAGCCCTAATAGGTACTGTACATGAAAATCTCTTGCATCCCTGTCAAGCAGCGAGGACAGACAAGTCTGAGGCCATGATTACTGCCACTCAGCACCAGCACACTCCAATGTGAGGAGCTCGAGCGAGCCCGCATTCCTCAGCTTTGAGTTACTTCCGTGTGCCAGCCATCGTCTACTTAAGAGGAGAAGCTTTGTTTTTAGTTTGTGGTTTTGGAGTTGCAAGTTCAAGGTCTGCCGGCCCCAGCGGTCTGGGCTTCTGTCGAGAATAGCACATAATAGCAGGAGCGCATGTTGGGGTTGGTGGCCCCAGCTGGCACTCCTGAGTGCCAGAGTGACAAGTGAAAAAATCTTCAGCCTTTTCTGTGCAAGAGTTAGGACTATCTAAAGTATTTTATTTAATCTACATATTGTGGATATCTTTTATTCAATAATAATTCATTTCTAGTATTTACTGATTAACAAGCCACTAACTGAATAAATTAAAGGAATTGTTTGTCTGATTCTTTTAGTTGATTTGTAAAGTCTTAAGTATTGGTCAACAAATGAAGAGCTGTAGGGCTTTTAGTAGCTTTCTCAGGGACTCCATATTAGCTGACCAACCCTGAAATAAGGAATAATTTTTTTTTAAATGTATTTTGTACAGGGTCTCACTACGCAGCTCAGACTTGTAGCGATTCTCCTGTTTTTAGCCTCCCCAGTGCTGGGATTACAGGGGTGCACCACCACACCTAGCCTGGGGGCCAGCTCAGCATGTCTGGGGGTGGGGCCAGCACAGCATGTGGTGCCAGGGATCAAACCCCAGTCCCTGTGCTTCCCTAAGTAGGCACTTAGTCTGCTGAGCTATCTCGCCAGCCCAAGGATTCTTAATTAGGGCCTCTGACCACCCAAGTTGAAGCCCAAACTAAATAGCACATATTTATTATCAGGTGGTAATGGTGTCTGTAATTACTGATAAGTGCACAGTAACAGATGCCTATGCCAGTGTATAGAGTCAAAGAAGGCTTTCCAGAAAGCTTGATCTAGCTTTGAAGAATGAGGGAAACAGTCTCCCAGGCAGATGGTGTGAGTGTAGCACAATGGAGGAAAAAGGTGAGGCAGTGTCTGTCTTCAGTGTAAAAGTGTGAAAAGGCCTGGTGATAGGTGAACCAAGATCTAAATCACAGAGAGCCCCAGTCTGTGAAGTTTGCTTTTTATTTTGAGGATAAGAGTTTCCACTAAAGGTAAATGTAAAGGCAAAAGGCTAATTTGAAAAATAAGTCATGCAGGTGCTTATGCCGCTGAGCTATGTCAAGTCAGTTGTCCAGCCAAGAAAAAAGATCCTAGCCCTAAGCTATGTAGATGAATCAACTCAGTATTACCTACCCCTGTCCAGAAAATTCTTCTTTCCACTCTGTCAGTTAGGGGGTCCTTCCTTCTTTGAACTCATAGCACCCTAAACTAGGCTCTACCAGTGTACTCACCTTGATGTCTTGAGATTGCCTCTTAAAATACATCTCACACTAGAGCAAGTGTGTCCTGAGACCAGGAATCACATCAGTTTTTCTTACTGTTGTATGTCTAAGTATAGAAGAAAGCCTTCACTCAGTTGTCCATGAAGGAAGGAAAGAAATATGAAGGAAATCCCACAGGATTTGTAGTTGTTTATGGGACTGAGGAGATAAGAGGTTTCTGGCTCTAATAAATGGAAGAAAAACAAATGAAACATTGTTCCTGATTCAGCACATACTCCCAGCTTGGCTGAATAGCAGTGCTTTGAGTGAGATTTACGTGAAGATCAACATGAAACTCAATACCTCCTAGTACTTCCCCATTCATGCGAAGTCTTTGTTTATGTTTGTGTGTGTGTTCATGTATATGTATGTCTACATATCCTTTGTCTGTGTACATCTGTCTGTCTCTTCTTTTTTCATCCTTGAGCTAGAGTTTCTCTTCCCAAAGTTGCATTGACGGATGGAAGCGGTGGTGTATGTTAAACAGTGATTGCCTTATTCTTATTTTTTTTCTTTTGAAGTTCTTATATATTTCTTTTTTGTTGTTGTTTTGTTTTTTCTTTTAACCAATTTTGCATGTTTATATCAGATAACCTAAACAACTAATTTGAAGATAACATCATTAATTCAACAATATATTGTTGGATTCCTATTACTTTGTTTAGTGAAATTTTGTATCATTTCTGTCATGGTTTGGGGTTTTTGCAAGGCGAACAATATAGTACAGGACATGTTTTATTATATTAGTTTATAAGGAATCACCCAAGAATTATATACAAGTGCAGGAAATCTATCCACAGTAAAAACTAAGAGACTCCAACTAAGGGACTGGATCCTGATATCCTGCATGAGTCCAGCTGAAAACCTAGAGCTCATAACAGTGCCTCCCACCAGTCCAACTGGAGGCCTGGAGCCCACAACAATGTCTCATGCAGGCCTGCTTCATGGATCTGTGCTGGAAAGGCCCACAGGTCAGTGGTGGAAGCTAGGAAGTCTATACCAGTGGGACGAAGGATCTGTGCTAGCAGGCTGAGGGATCTGCACTGGAGCTAGGAAGCAATGCTCCAGGTACCAGAGCTCCCCTAAAAGTACCACAGCCATCCTTAGCCACAGTGAGATCCTGAGCTCCTCCAGCGATGAGGAAATCTGAGTTCCCATCAGAAAAGCCAATGCAGCAAGCTTCTTGAGGCTGAACAGTGCACTATCTTCCCCTCTGGAGCCAGGAAGTGATGCTCAAGATATGGATCAGAGCTTTTCCAGTTCACTGGGAAAGCCAGCATGGCAAGGTCCTCCAGCAAAACAGCCCAAGAGAACTAGCAGCTTCCAACAGCTTCTCCAAATAGCATCCATAACAGCGTTTTGGCAGCTTCTCTTGTTCTGCCTTTTGCTGCTGGCAACAACCCTCAGGTGGGCCTTGCACACTCAGCACCACGCTAGTTTAATTCATGTGGGTGTAACAAGCTGACCGCCAGTTAGAAATCCACTACAATTTCTAATGCTGGTTTTTTCTATTATGATTTTTGTATTCTTTAAAAACAAATAGTGGCTGCCAAAGTGACGTGAGTAAGAAAAACAAAAGCAGCAGCAGTTTGGTGATGCACCAGAGTCCCTGTTGACTCATAACTGAAGAAAGTGTTTGCTGACTCTGTCGTCATCTCCAGCCCTGCCAAGAGATGCATTCCTGTGCTGCGGGAAGGGAGCAGGAGCAGTGCTCTGACGGGCTCTGCTAACTTCTTGGGACGTGCGCCTCGCACAGCAGTCACAGTTGAGGACATCACTGTGTCAGGGTATGACACATTCTACCCCATGTATCTTTCCATAGCCATTTGCATTTAGGTATTCGCAAAAGCTGTGGACTAGAAATACTTATTGTAGGGCTGGCCAAATAACTCAGTGGGTTAAAGCACCTGCAAGCAGGCGTGGGGGCTGGGGGTTTGATCCTCAGACCCCAGGCCTGCTGTGTAGGTCCCGCCCCCAGGGTGCGCTGAGATGGCAATTGTGACTGGGCTGGTGGTGTGTGCCTGTAATCCCAGCACTTGGGAGGCTGTAAACAGGCAGATCACTACGAGTCCGATGTAGTGGTGAGACCCTGAGCACCCTGTTGACCCTTCCCTCCCCAACAAAAAAAAGAAATATTTATTGTATAGGTATGTGTAGTATACACAGTTTGTATATCATATTTATTTCATATAAATAAAATTTCTTTCTAATTGGATAATAACAAAGTTAGGAGATACACATGCTTCCCCAGAATCTTTTTGTTGTTTTATCATGGATGATCAGAGATTTAAAAGTCAGGAAGCACTGCTGTCAAATGACAGTTGACACAGCTGTCCACTACAGTGGGAGGCCAAAATCCAAATGGCAGGTGTTGACAGTGATTGAGGTGGATGAAAGGAGTTAGTTGATGGCAGCATCAGAGACCACTTAGCTGTGATACATCTCTGCTGGGCTATTGAAGAAATATCCACCAGGGATTTTTATAGCTAAAGTTGGGTGTGTCATATGCATACTCACCAAAGATGGCTTTGTGTCTAAAGATTGATCCCAGAAGTCTGCTTCCTTCTGAGATGTCAACTAGTCTCAGGTAGCTTTTCCACAGTCCTGCCTGCACTGTAGTCAAAGACTCCTCAGGCCAGTTGTGCCACTGAGACATCCACA